AAAAAAAAAAAAAAAGCCATGATTTTATCAATATAATTCTGTCCTCTAGAGCCTCACAGGAATCTAATCTCACCCTGGACAGACTTCTCTGAGGCTAATGACTGCACTTTGGAACAGGACAAATCTGCTTAAAATAGGATGAGGCTACAGGACATACCATCTGTATTAGTTTTCTAGGGCTGTGGTAACCAGTTACCACAAACTGGGTGACTTTATAAAACAATTTATTCTCTTACAGTTCTTGAGGGCAGAAGTCCAAGATCAAGGTGTCAGCAGGGTTGGTTCCTACTGGAAGCTCCAGGGGAAGAACTGTTGCATGCCTCTCTCCTAGCTTCTGGTGGTTGCCAATACTTCTTGACACCCCTTGGCTAGTAGACCTGTTTCTCCAGTCTCTGCCACCTTCTTCACATGCTGTTCTCCCCTGTGTGTCTCGGTGCCGAAACTTCCCTCTTCTTATAAGGATACCAGTTGTTGGATTAGGACTCACCCTATCCAGTATGGCTTCATCTTAACTTGAATTTATCTGCAAAGACCCTATTTCCAAATCAGGCCACATGGAATTTGGTGGGGTAGACACCATTCAACCCAGTATACTATCTAAAATACATCCGTCATAAAACAGAGATTTAGGATGGAGCTCAGTGGCTCACACCTGCAATCCTAGCACTTTGGGAGGCCGAGGTGGGTGGATCACCTGAGGTCAGGAGTTTGAGACCAGCCTGGCCAACATGGTGAAACTCCATCTCTACTAAAAATACAAAAATTAGCCCAGTGTGGTGGCAGTCACTTGTAATCCCCGCTACTCAGGAGGCTGAGGCAGGAGAATCACTTGTAATATCAGAACTTTGGGAGGCCAAGGCGGGTGCATCACCTGACGTTGGGAGTTCGAGACCAGCCTGAGAAACATGGAGAAACCTCGTCTCTACTAAAAATACAAAATAAGCAGGGCATGGTGGCACATGCCTGTAATCCCAGCTACTCGGGAAGCTGAGGCAGGAGAATCACTTGAACCTGGGAGACAGAGGTTGCAGTGAGCCAAGATCACGCCATTGCACTCCAGGCTGGGCGACAGAGTAAAACTCTGCCTCAAAAAAAAAAGAAGATACAGATATAAAGAAGACAGTTGGAAATCTGCGCATAACTCTTATTTATTTATGTATGTATAGAGACATGGGTCTCATTAACATTGCTCAAGCTGGACTCGAGTTCCCGGGCTCAAGTGATCTTCCCAGCTCAGTGTCCCGAGTAGCTGGGACTGCAGGCTGTGTATAACTTTTGACTCCCCCAAACCAAACTACTAATAGCCTATTGTTGACAGGAACCTTTACCAATAATATAAACAGTCAATTAACACATAGTTTGTACATATAAGATATACCGCGTTCTTACAATAAAGTAAGCTAGAGGAAAGAAAATGTTTATAAGAAAATCACAAAGAAGACAAATATATTTACTACTCATTCAACAGAAGTATGTCATCCTAGAGGTCTTCATCCTCCTCGTGTTCATGTTACATAGGCTGAGGCAGAGGATGAAGAGGACGGGCTGATCTCAGGGGTGGCAGAGGTGGAAGAAAATACGTGGATAAGTGGATCCACAAAGTTCAAACCTGTGTTGTTCAAGGGTCACCTGTGGGAGGTGACATGAACATGACTGAGATTAGGAATGATGGAGAATCTAGGTGTGGTGGCATGTGCCTACGGTGCCAGCTGCTCAGAAGGCGGAGTGAGGAGGATTGCTTGAGTCCAGTTTGAGGCTGCAGTGAGCTGTGATTGCATCACTGCATTCCAGCCTGGGAGGAAGATAGAGGGCAGAGTAAAACCTTGTCTCCTAAAAAAGAGGGAAGGGAGTTTATCTCCTTCCTTAATCTCCTTTTGATCTTGATTATTTTTTATAACAATGTATTTTATAATGATTATAGTTATATAGATATAACTATAATTCTTAGTATACAGAGATCTTTTTCTAGCAATCCTCCTGCCTTGGTCTTCCAAAGTGCTGGGATTACAAGCATGAGGCACCACGCTCTGCCCAGAGATCTTTTTCAAAAGCTTTTCAATGACAGAATTTTCTAGTTGGTCGCTCATTAATCAGGGCCTTTCTCAAATTTCAGGCAATCACTGGATCATCTGCTCCAAGGAACATAGGAGTGGGAATATGAGGAATATGATAGAATGGAAGCTGTATCTCTAGAGAGTTGTTAGGCTTACGGCTCAGTTGGGCAATGCCATCCCAGCCCCATCTCCTTTTTGCTGGGCATCAATTTCCTCAACTGTGAAAAGGGATAATAAAATTGAATATGTTTTAAAAAATTGAATATGTATATTTGAGAGATAAATGAAATGAAAACATACATAATTTACTTGGGAGAAATTTATTCCAGTAAGAGTTGGAAGCTGGCAATCTCATATGCTAACCTGGACTGTTTTCTATCAAAATAATGAGGTGAGACTTTCTGTTCATTTGGTTTTATTATATTTTTATTCCCAAGGTGTGCTAATGCCATAATTATTTTATATATGCTTAATAGATAAAATGATTGACATATAGAAGTAATTATTGACATATAAACAAATGAAACTCTTAACCACTGCAGAAGCCACTTCTAAGGATAGCTTTTGGAAAACAAGAAAAGAAACTTCACCAACTTCATTCTATTTCATTATTCAGTACGATAGCCACTGGCCACATGTAGCCATCGAACACTTAAATGTGATTGGTCCACACAAGCCTGGGCAACATAGTGAGACCCTGTTTCTATAAAAATAAATATAAAAATAAAAAATTAGCCAGTCTTGGTGGCAAACACCTGTAGTCCCAGCTACTCAGTAGGCTGAGGAAGGAGGATCGGTTGAGGCCAGGAGTTTGAGGTTGCAGTGAACTATGCTTGCAAGGCACTCCAGCCTGAGCAACAGAATGATATTCCATCT